TACATAGGTCATTGCGGTAAAGCCAGTTAATCCACCGAGGGGACAACGATAAAACAACGCACTGTTGCAGACATTACACTTAGTGGTTAAAATTTGGGTGTTAGAATTTATTGTCAAAATGCCTAGAAAGCAGAAATGTTTTCACCTGTGCCAGAAAGAGAGCAACATCAGGTGAATTTCCCCGGGGAGCTCATTCCACAGGTGGGGGCAGCTGCTTGCAAGATGGCCCGCTTTCCATTTTCCCTCAGGACCGCCTGCCCCTTGAGTCGGACCCGCTGCCTTTGGGCGTCCTTCGCAAGTCCGCTCCCTTGCCTCGCCGCCGGCCAGCATTGTCGGAGAGCTGGGATGCACCGCAGCCGGCGGGTGTCCCCAATCTGCCACACACCCTCCACGGCCCCCGAGAGGCCTCGCTGAGGTGCCCCGAGGCAGGCGCACAGGGTTCGGGGTCTTCCCAGCAGGGACCCCACCTAGCCTGCGTTTCTTGGCGCCCTCCTCCTGCTCCCGGGGCGGTGGAGCGCGGCCCTTGCCCATGGGCGGATGGATGGGGGCAGTGGACGAGAGCGAGGCAGGGGGACATTGGGGTCCCCTCCCTTTTGGGGGGATTTGGAGAGGTGGCTGGAAAGGCCAGAGCGGTAGGGGCTGCTTTAGGCACCCGCTGGCTGTCATTGCACATCTGGTGCAGCGATTCAGCGCTTGGGAGACCCGGGTTCAGGTCTGCACTCGGCACGCAGCTCACGGGGGAGTGCTGAGCCGGACCCTTCCCTCCCAGCCCTGCCCAGGCGGTTGGGACGACGAAATGGAGGGAGCAGGAATGTGGGAGCGGCGTGTGGCTCCTGGCAAGAGGGGAAGCGCACGGTATTGGTGTGCAAGTCAGCCGGTGCAGCCCTCCCCGGTCCCAGAGGCTGTCGCCTCTCCCAGAGACAGACAGGGCTCCGGTGTCCGAGGAGACCTCGCAGCCGGAGCCAGACAACTGGAACGCTGCCGTCCGAGTAGCCCTCACAGTTGCGGAGCGATGCTTGAAACCGTTGTGTCGAGACTGGCGGGAAGAGCAGGAAGTGGAGGAATTGCTGATGGGGAGGCGGTCGGTTTGCTCAGTTCTTTTTCCTTCTCCAGTAGAAGCCGAAGCACAATCGATTACACTGAGTCTGTTCTTGGGGGGCAGGAGAATCCGCAACGTCATCCCCTCTGCTTCAGCGCCTAGCTCTTCCCGGCCAGTGGTTCCAGCGGAGGGGTTTGGGCCGAGCTGCGCTCCGCCTCCACTGCTTGGCCTTGTTTCCTCCTTTTCGCTGCAGATTCGGGGTGCGCGACCTGCGGCCCTCCACTGCCGCCCGCAAAGCATTTTCCCCACAGCCCAGCTGGAGAGCGGGACTGCAGGGAAGGGGGGATCCCATCAGCAGAGCCAGGAGGATAGTCTCCCTGGAGTGGGGGCGGGGGGACTGGCAGGCCTCCCCACCCGCACCCCGACATTCTCGCTTCTGGGGTCACTTGCTTGGGGCAGCGGGTCTGGGGTGAGATTCTGACCGGTAGGGCTCGTCGTAGCGCCGCATGCTGGGGGAGCCGGGGTAATGCACACGCAAGGGCGCGCATGCGGGTGCACGTGGCCGTGGCCGTGAGGCGAGCGCCCTCTCCTGAACGGAGGCGCCCGCAGGGGCCGGCGCTGCCGGGGGCCTTCCCGAGGGGCAGAGCCAGCAGGCTGCGGGGGCCACGGCCTTCTCTGCGCCTCCGGTGGTGCCCGGCGTTGGGTGGCACCCGGAGGTCCGTTTCCCAGCTGCTGTCCCTTTAAATCGTATTAGCTGGCGTCACCGGTGACTAATTGCCAAGCCGTGGTGACTGCTGGGCCTCCCTCTGATGTATGGGTGTTATATTAAGGGTGGAAAGGTGCTAAATGAGCCCTCTTTATTTTACATAAATTAGCTTAAAAGTCATGCATCAATGCCAGTGCCGCTTACACTTCCGCCTGAAGTTTGTTTAGCCAAGTTTCCAAAGGCAGGGGCGGGCACGATGCTCGGGTGGGACCCGCGTCTCCGTGGGGCTCCCCCGGCCGGAGGGGCACTGAGCATCTCCAGAGTGGTGGGGAGGCCTGCCAACTCGAAGCACCGGCCTTCCCGCCAGTGGGTCAGGCTCCACGGACGCCACCTCCCACTGGGGCCATGGACGTGTGGGATGAGTTTAGTGACCCCCCTCCCCCACTGGGGTCGTCCCTTGCTCTTTTCCCAGGCTTAGAAACCTGAAGCCTGGTGCTTCGGCGGGCGGCGTAACCCAAGCCCCACCTGCCTCTCCCGGCTTTGGAGGCATCCACTCCCGATCGGGTGAAGTTCAGCTCCCGCGGCTCTGTTGACACCAGCTGTGCCATTGCCCTGCTTCTGAGATCGCAACGCCCCCCATCCCTGTCACGCCCCTGGCTCTCCCACCCTCTGGCCTCTCTGCTCAAGGCCTGCTGCTTCTCCGCCTCCAGGCACTTCCGGGGTGCTGGGCTCTCCCGGTGTCCCTCCTGGGTGCCTCTGCAGCTGGGAGTGCAGGGGGGTGTTGGACTTGGGCCCACGGGGGGTCACACGTGGAGGGGAGGGGCTGCACACAGCGCTTGCACACGGGCCGGACCACCCGCCCAGCCTCTCCCACGTGTGCCGCATCGACGTTCGGCAAAATCCTCTTGAACGTGGCGAGAGCGGCTGGTGACGGCAGCTGGCCGACTCTCTTCCCCCTGCTGCAGAGGCGGAAGCGTTCGCGCGATCGCAACAGAAACGAGTGCCTTTTCCCGAGGGTCATGGCCCTGCTAGTCTGTCGCCGCAGAAGCCACGGAGGGTCTCCTTTCACCTCAAAGACCACCCAGTTTTTTCTGCAGCAGCCTCCTTGGGCCACATTCCGCTTTGCCAGATGCATCAGTAAGCGCAGGGCGCTGGGAGGCTTGCACGGCACTTGAGGGCAGGGGAGTGGGGGCCCGGTCCCTTTCCCAGCACGTTTCCATAATTTTGCACTTTCAAGCGTATATCCAGACTGGGACTCACACACGGCTCTGAATTCAGCAGTAGAATTCCCTGATAAATAAATGTGTACAGAAACACACATTTTTTGGTGTGCACTCGAAATAATGTTCATAACAAGATTGCACAAGGCAAAGGACATGTGCCTTAGGCAAAATTGTGTACAAGTATGCGTGCATGAGAGAAACATGTACAAAGATGCACACAGTTTTAGCGAAAAGTTTATTATAGAAATCCTCGACGCTCAGGTGGGAGAGAAATGGGGAAAGGAAAGCGAGTGCAGCGGACGGCTTCACCACCCGCCGAGACCCTCGGTGCAAAGCAGGTGGACGCAAGGGGCCGAGTGCCCATTTCCACTTGCGCAATGTCGTGGGGGTGCGCTTGCAGCCCGGCGGTCTTGGTCTCGGGTTTCTTCTGCCACCCCGCAGGAATGCGAGACTCTGGAGGACAGAGACCTTGCCCAGCCCTCCCTCCCCCGCCCCCCTCCTGCCACGCAACCTGCGTGGGGCGGCCTGGGATGTCCCGCTGCGGAAGCAGCCCCAGCTGGCACTTGGAAATCAGGCGGGCCCACCTGGTTCTGCAGGCAGAAGCATTTGCTGAGGGTCTGGAGTGCTTAGTGGGGCGGAGGCAGGCCAGAGCAGGGAGGCGCGTGGGCTGCCTGTGCAGGGTGGGCCGTGTGGGGCGGAAGTGGGGAGGAGACCCAGGAGAGCTTGGCTGGGCCCCTCGAGGCCGGAGCAGGCCCTGCGCTTCTAGCCCTCCATCTTGAGCCCAGCCAGGGAGCGCCATCTCCGGCTGAGGGGCCAGCACCAGGATGAGGCCGCTTGGCTCGAGGATGGGCAGGAGGCGGCAGCTCAGGCCGTGCGGGGGGATGCGCTGCCCTCCTTCCTGTAGTCAGGTGGCCTCACGTGGCCACACTTGCACACGATTCTGTCCGGGGGCGGGGGGGGCGTTCCCCGTTCCGCTTGCCCAGCACATGCTGCCTCTGAGCCAGGCCGCCTGCCCCGCTGGGCACGGGCAGCCCGGGGCGGCTCCATCTCTCTGGCTCCGGCATTCCCCACATGGTTTTCCAGTCGTGCGTTGCAGCCACATGGTCCAGATGCTTTTCCGTGTTTAGAGAACGGTTTCGGTCAGGGAGGATGAGCCACGTGGCCACCTGTCTCCTGCCGTGCCAGCCCGAGTTGTTCCCATTGTACAGAAAAAACTCGTTTTGTGGCATCTTTGTACAGCTCACAGCACCACTCTATGGTAAACATTGGAATTACAGCAAAAATCCCCCCCCCCCCCCGAAAAAACACCCAGGGAAGAATGGGTTCTTGCGGATGCCCGCATGGCACCGGCCCGCACGACACCGGCGGACGTGCTGAACACAAAGCGCCTCATTCTGTACAATTCAGAGTTGGCGTCAGCCTCATTTGGGGAGGGAAACGTGTGTGGCTTCCACACAAGAGACCAGCCTTGCGCAGTCTGGCATCCTTTGGCGCCTCGGCCCCGATCCAGCGATGCGCAGAGTTGCAGCCAAACAGGGCTTGTGTGTGCGGGGGGGGAGCAGGTTGGGAGAGGCTGCTTCATTTGTTGTCCTTGGGAATCTGACCATTTGGAAAAGAGGAAAGCTTTTAAAACGTCCATTCACTGAAAAGATGATTCCAGGTTTGCTTTTCTTGGGGCGGTGGGGGGGACTTTCGATCACTTTGCTTTCCAGCCCTTCCCCCTGGAGCACCATTTGAAAATGAGAGATTTTCCCAGCGACCTTGATGCCGCTGCCTTTTTGTCCTCCCGAGAGCTGGGGGTGAAGTTGGTATTTTCCCCTCCACTCCCCCTCATCTGTTCCCATGTTATCCACACAGCAGCCCTGTGAGGTGGGTGCCGGGGAATTGCCAGCCCCATGGCCAGGAGTCCAAACGGCCCTCCCGCAGAGGCTCTGAGCACCGCCGGCCACCCAGCCGCCTGGGGCCGAGGAAGGAGCGGCGCGATGGCCAAACGTACTGCAAGCTGACCGTGTCCTCTCTCTCCCCTCGCCAGGGAAGCCACTGCAGATCAAGCCGCGGCTGTGACGGGGCCTCCCCGGAGCGGCCCCCGCCGCCTGCGCGCTCCAGTCGGCCCTCTCAGGGATCCGAGGCTGCTCGGCAACTACCTCAGGAAGGCACTACGACGGCGAAGGCCTCCCTCACCTCTTCCCTCTGCGCAAGGAGCGGGCGACCAGCAACCGACCGACCGACGAGGCCGGCTGCCTGCTTTCCTGGCGAGCAGCCTCCCCTCCGTGCCTCCTTGCGCTCCTCCTTCGGCTCAGCGGTGGGCCTCTGCCGGGGTGTGGGCAGAATCTCTGCCAGTCCGGCCAGCCGTGGCCCGCCGGCCTCGGGGGGACGCGCGGTGGCCGGCGGCTTGGCATCGCGGGCCGGAGGTCGACAGGCCCCGGGGCTCCGCCTGGCGAGGCTCTTGGCTACCGCGCCCCCGTCCCCAGCTGTGGGCCGGCCACTTGCGGCATCGCACGGAATCCCGGGGCGCCTCTCGGATCCTGAGAGACGCCTCCCTTGGGGGCCCTGCATCCGGCTCTCTGTGGCGCAGGAGCAGGGTGATTGTGGACGGGCCCCAGTCACAGGGCTGCGGGGGGGGGGGGGTTTTTGGAGCGGCCTCTCCGGCTGATGCCCTTCAGGGCGGGGGGGGGGGGTTTCCCCGACTGTCTGGAGGGGTTACATTTTTAGGAAAGCTGGAGGCACTGGGAGGTGGGGAAGGTTTGCTTTTCATTCTGGGAAAAAACCCTTTGTTAACCCCCCCCCCCTTTACAAGATGTCTTTGATAGTTAATGCCAGATTTGGGGCTCAGAATGATTTGTAAAATAGACCTGACGGGGTGGTTTTATTATGCAGATACAAACGAAATGTCTATATTTGTAGCACTGACGCATTGTAAAGATGGGACGTATATTATTCAAGTCTACCTTGCGAGAGTGTCTTGTTTCTCCGGATCCTTAGCTAGTCGAGGGGCTTTGGGTCTAGGCACAGGGGGTCACTCGCTGCCCCCTTGCGACCCCCACCGAATCCCACGGCTTACCCAATGCGGGTGAACACGCTGGCGACGATCTTAACCTTGGGGAGGGCGTTGCTGGAAGCTTCCTCCCACCCTCCTCGCAGCCCGGTTTTTTACGCGCGGCCTGACTGGACGGAAGGCCCCTCGGGACAGTGCAGGACGCCGCGCCTCGCTCTTTGCGGCATTGGCACTGGGTGGAGCAGGAGGCCGTAGCCAGCCAGCCTTCCGGGCCACTCCGGGCTCCCCCCCACTCCCCTCGCGCCCCCTCTCCCGCAGCGCTTAACATCCTTCCCTGAGGAAGGCGAGTTTCTTGATGCTCTCGCGTGGGGGCTGAGCCCACGTGCACGGACGGGCTCTTGGGAAGGCGCATCTTTTCCCGTGGGGAGCAGAGGCGCCCGGCCTGCGCAGTTCGTGCTCGCCCTCGCCCTCGCCCTGGTGGCTTCCTGCCGTGTGGACCAGCACGAGCAGGGCCTTCGCCCGGGCTGCTGAGGAGGGTGTCCTGCATGGGATGCAGGGAGCACAGCTGGCGAAACAGCTGGAATTTTTTGATCCCTGAAATCGGAAGAGCCCGTGTGTGGTGGAAAACAGGTTGATGCTTCGTCTGAAAAAGAGGTCGGGACTTGGGATCTTTGGGCTGGGGATACTTCCTGAAGCACGAGTGGGAGCGGGTGCGCTGCTCTGTGGAGCCTCCTGGCGAGGAGGGGCTGCCCTGGGGGGCCTGCTGCCGAGGGGGGGAGTGCCTCAAGGGAGAGGGTGCGGCGGGCGTGAGGGCTGCCTCGGCACTCTCCTCCCTGGGGCAGTGTGAGCGGCACCGTCCTTCGGCCCCTTTGCTGGCCGTGCCGTTCCCGGGGAAGGGCTGCGCAAGCACCGCCTCGGCCAGCTGTCCGGTGGGGCACGTGGTGTTCTGGTGCGACCCACAGCAGGAAAGCCATGTGGCTCTGGGTGGCACACGTGGGCACCGAGTGGAACAGCCCCGTGGAGAGCAGGCTCCGGGCGGCTGGGCCTGGTTGCAGGGGCACCCTGACTGGGCTGCTTGTCCTCCCCGCTTCCCCTTTAGGCCGGGAGAAGCCACTCTGTGTCCTTAAAAAGCCGGCCCTGAAGCCGGGCCCGGCATCCTTCCTCCCCGGCCACTGCTCAGGACACCAGGCTGCAGCCGGCATGCTTACGGTAAGCAACAAAACTTCCCCCATCCCCAGCTGGCGAGTCAGCCCAGCTCATCCCCTCAGCGCCACGAGCTAATAAAAGATTGATTGGGGAGAGAGCAGCAATCTGCCGCACTCGGCACTTCCTTCCCCAACTTCTCTCCCTTCCAGGGGGTGGGGGAGCAGCAAGGGGGCCGTTAGCAGACACCCACTTGATTGGGCTGCTTTTATCTCCCCCTCTCCGTTTCTTCATCTCTGTGATTTAACACCCTGCCTGCCGACGCTCCCGGGAGTGCTGGCCAGGCAGCTCTGCGAGGGAGGGCGAGCGCGAACTTTCCGCGCTCCAGAACTTCTCTTCCCCAGAACGTCGTCGGAGGCATGAGCAAGGCCAGCGGCTCCGGGGGGCTGCCTGGCGCTGCTTTGCTCCCCGCCGTCTTGGGGTGGGGGCTTCAGCAGCCAGACTGGGAAGCCCCTCCGTGGGATGACGCTGGCCGGCAGGGCAGGGGGAATCGGGCACAGTGGGCTCAGCGAGCCCGGGGCTCTGCTTCCGAGAGACCACAAGCAGGGCAGGAAGGCAGAGCCCTCCTGGGGGCTCTTCCTGGCATTCCCCAACCTGGCGCCCCCCAGACATGCTGACTGTACGTGGCGGTGGGAGCGGTGCTGCAGCACCAAGCTGGGACAGCTGCCTCACCCTTGGCCGTCCCAGCACCTGGCGTTCAGGTGTGATGTGCCTGAAGAGGGCACCTGCGAGGTGCCGCCCAGCTGATTGACCTGCCCTTCCTGAGTTTGCCCGGTCCCTTTAAAGAGCTCTGGGCTGGAGCCATCGCTGCATCGTGTGTGGGGCTGGTGTGTCGGGTGAAGGGGGCGTCTTGCCCCTCCTCTGGATCTCCTGCCCGCCAGTTCGGGGGGACCCTGCGCAGGTATATTACATGAGAAGAGCAGGAAGTTTCGTCGTCTTTGCAGTCCTGAAGGAAGACCCAGGCTGCATCACGCGTCACCTCCTCTGTCGCGGATCCACGGCGCTCAAACTGTACCCGGAGAAGGGCAAGGGAGTCTCTTCCCCTGATCTTGCACAGTAGCAGATTATTGCCTTCGCTTGGTCCAAAGCCTTCGGTCCAGTCCCTGGCAGAAGGGAGGAAGGGAGGGCTCCGTGCCAGCCCTGGTTAAGGAGCTCGGGCTGTGGGCGCCTTTGGGTGAAGCCAAGTGTGTGGCCGAATCACCCTGGCACAGACACGCCTCGCCTCTTACTTAATCACAGCCGCAAAGATCAAGGAGAGCCCTGTGCTTTGAGACTCCCAGGTTTAAAACAGCAGCCCAGGAAGCCTCTGGGGACCGGTCCTTTTGGATGTGTTTTCCCCGAAGGACTTGGAAGAATCCGCTTCCGCTTGCAGCAGCCAAGGCAGTTACCTGCCGGACATGGAACGCCCCCGGATGGGCTGCTTACTCCGGGAGCGTGCTGCTGGCCACTTCCCGGGCCCTCCTTGGCCATCCCGCCCCCCCTGCGGAGGTGCCCCGTGGCGGCAGAGGAACAGCCTTTCTGTCTGGGCAGGGTGCAGGCGAGCCCTCCCCACGCTCCCTCCCCTTTCTCGCTGGGTGCCAGGCACGGTACCTGGCGGGAGGTAACGGAAACGGGCCGCTGGACTGCTGACAACTCTGCGGCAGACGCCCTGCTCGTTCCTCGGCCGTTCAGCATCCCCTGGCACACTCGGCCCCAGAGGCTTTCAGATTCTTTCCAGATGGCACTGGCCAAAAGGCCCTCGCTGGCATTTGCAGCCATCGAACGCAGACCTTGAATCTCTCTGGCAGCCGGGCCAGCTTCAGCTGCTTCCTGACGAGGCCCGTGCACATTACGGGCTTCTGCATATGAAGAGAGGGGTGTATTTGTATGTGTATGCGCACAGGTACACACACACATGGGGGAACGTGGAAGTATGCAGGCCCCTGTCCCCCCTGCTCAGTCTCAGGTGGGATGGTCCAGGAGGAGCCGTGCCGGTTGGCCTGCCATTCAGGTGGGTGTTGCATCTGGTGGAGAAGGTGCTTGAGGCCGTTGCTGCCCCGGCAGTCCTCAGGTTTGGCAGGTCCCCACCCAGGCCGGGGGGTCCTCTTTGCCCGCCCCACGGCCTGCAGCGTCCGCCTGCAAAAGAGTCCCCAGCCGAGCTTGATCCCTGGGCAACCCCGCCCCCTCCGTGCCCCTGGATGGCCAGGTCACTCCGCTGGGCCCACCCCGGACAGGTGTCGGGCTGCCACGGACGAGGCCTCCGGTCCAGCCTGAACGGGGAGCAACAGCCGAGCAGCCTGTGCACAGCAGCCTTTCCTCCCGCCGGGCCGTGCGCGGCATGTGGTCCTCCGCGGGGAGCACAGCGCTCACCTGAGCGGGTCACCGATGCCCTTCAAAGGGCGACAGGATCTGCCCCTTGCGGGCAGCTCGGGGTGACTTCCCCTTCTCCAGGCAGCATTTCCCACGTGGCTCCAGAGCTGCCGCCAGGTTCCTGCACTGCTCGGACGGGGCCCTTTTGTGGGCCGGGTGTGCAGCAGGCTTTCCGTGGCGGTTCTGCGCCCGCGGTCATGGGGGCAAGCGCCACGGACTGCGGTGGGAGCTGCGTCCAGGCACACAGCGCGTGTGCCCTGTGGGGGCTCTGAGCACCCCTGCCGGCTCTGTCCGCTCAGCCCAGAGGAAGGAAGCGGAAGAGCGGAATGTCAAGGGAGCCACTCCAAGGTCGTCCCACGCGGTCGGTTGGTCGGTCACGTCAGGGCTTTAACAGACTGCCGAGGCAGCTCTTTCTGGACTACACCACTTCAGGCCGTGGGCAGGGAGGGGGAAGTTTTACATATTTGAACAGTTGCTCATATTAATGCAAAAACCAATACCCCTTGGACACAGGAAGTGAGTATGCCTGGGAGACGCTTCAGCCACATTTGGGGGATTACATGAGCAGAGCTGACTGGAGCCGGGGGTCAGACTAGATGGCCCAGGGGACCCTTCTGACTTGCTTTTCTCCCTATGTTTCTAAGGTGAAATCCAAGCCAGGAAGCTGCACCTGATTGTGCTTTTGCCTGCCAAGTGGCCTCTGCAAACTGCCGAGGGCTCCAGGGAAAGAGATGGGCTTCCTCCGACACTCCACGACAGTTCCTTCTGGCCATTCATTTCTGTGGCATTGCACTCTGTGGGGCTTAACTGACAGCTCCTGACCTGGGAGCTGCCACCCAGTTGCCCTCCTGAGCTCCCCTTTGCCCCAGATGCCACCCTCCAAGGGCACCCGCGGGACACCCGAACTGGCAGGCTTGTCGGTCTGTGCAGGCAGCCCCGCGACATCCGGCCCAGGCCCCTGCACAGCCCCCTCCAAATCGGGGACTCTCACCTTGGCCCCCCGTGGCCCCGCAAGCCTGGCTTGTCCGCAGTCAGCAGACTTGGCCCTCTGAGGCCGCAGTCGCCCTGC